AGCAACTCCATAATGAAAATCCAACATCCCACTCGTTGATTCAGAATACAACACAGCATTTCCACGATCGCATGTTTTTAAAATAGATTTTCCTCATCCCTGGATCACAATCGTTAAGGTTACGGCTGGTGGGAAGGTAGCTACCCAAATCTGCTCAGGTAAAAGAGCCAAGGGAATCCTTTAGCTGCGCTTAATTATGTTTATAAAATGCATGAAAGGGCTGCAGCGTGATGGCAGTCTTGGATAAAAATTCCTCTCACCCAAAGTCCTCTAAATGTCAAAAATTACACGCTCCTATACTTCTGTCTGAGAGGGGAAAAAACATAGAAATATACCGGGCACAGGCTGCAATTTGAAGCATGTGGTTATCCCTTCAATCATCCTCAGGATCCTTTCATCAGGCTTTGTGTTTACCTACGCTGGCGGAGGCATTATGTGTGTTGTTTCCTCAACGTGGTGTTACACCTCAGTAAGTGCCAACTCATTGTCTGCTGTCTTTATCTGTTGAGCCAAGGGGGACAGACACATGTGGACACAGACTTCTGGATCTGTCCTTATTTCTGTTTAATGGGACAATGTCCACGGGATGCTACTGAGACCATAAACAAGAAAAGGAAGGCTCTTCCTTCAACAATGCTGGGATTTCTTAAGAAAAATGGTCACTAATGCAGTTCCCCCATGCTCGAGGTCAGCGCTTTAATAAGGCAGATATAAATCTCTACCAGGCTCACATTTCCCCTCAGCACTATCTGAGGAGCCACATAGCTGTTGTGTTGTGTATTATCACATGGGAGCTGCTGGAGTTGTGGGAGACTGAGCTGTGGCTTGTCACCGAGCTGTGTCATGTGACAACCAGCTACCTGGCAATAGTTTCCAGCGGGCTCTGGTGATAAGAGAGGTGCAGCAGATAAGACATCTCCTGTGCTGCATGTGCCAGGAGCCCTCCTGCCATTTACAAGGAGAAAAGAAAACGGATCTCTTTTTTTTCTAAACCCATGTCAAGACTCAGTTTCACACGAGTCCTGCAACACATGAGCTGGATTTGTTTCTCCCAGCACGAGGCAGCCTTTGTAACACGTCTGATGCCACTCACACAAAATGTCATTAACAGCAGGAGTTTTGGAGTTGCCATTAATGGCTGTTGAATAGCAGCCACCGCCATACGTGACTTATCGTCACTTAGCGTCACCGACTGCAGTGTGCCTGATAACGACACAGGAGTCTAGATTTGTCCTCACTCCCACGCAGGCTGTTGCTAAATGACAGTGAAGTGACGATTCTGACATGATACACGTTGCCTTTTGCTGTGCAAAATTCGTCAGCAGCACTCATCACTGTGCCACTTGTCATGGTGCCCCTGCTGCTCATCATTGTAGCTGTCACTTACAACCAAAAAATAAAAACAAATAAATAAAAGAGAAACCCAACCCCCTGCCCACCTCTTTTCTTCGCCTCCCATTCTCATCCTTTAAAGTGTAAACAGTTTCTCTATTTTCCAGAAAATAGTTCAGAGTGAGAGAGTGTTTTAGTCATGTAACGCTTCCTCAGCCAATGTTTACAGTTTATTTATGCAGCCACTCTCAACAGGAGTGTGTTAAATTAACAGGGCATGGCTGGGTCTGCAGGCGTGTGCAAGAACATGTTTCAATTGTGTCTCTAAGTAAGCTTAACCAGGCAGTTGTGAAGACTTTGCATAATGGCAATCAGCTATAAGGTCTCATTAAAATGTAAATTCCACTCATGGCTCTTTGTGGGGTATTACAGTGCTTCAGACATACACACAAAAAAGAGGCGACCTTGTGGATTAACTTAAATCTAATCTATGTGTCTAATCTGAAACCTCCTTCCTCCTCTGCAAGCAGAAATGGAGCAGCCCATCTAATTTGGAGGCAACAAAAACACTCAGAACTGGCGCTTGGCCGAATTTCAGACCATCCTGCTTTCTCTGTTTTTCAAGAGAAGCACAAAGCTAATTAGACAGCTGGTGTCAAGCCAATTTCTGTCCCTCAGTCTGTTGTTTACCCTCTTTTTGCATAGTGCAGATGTGATTGTTGATATTGTTTGATGTTGCACTGCAGTCGCCAGAGGCCATTTGGCTCATTTACCTTGGTGTAACTTGAGTGGCAGGATGTAGAGCTTTCTTAAGCTGGTGAGGAACTTGTGAGACAAATGTGTTTATTTGTGCCCTGAGAGCTTGTCTTGTTGCAATTAGGCGATATACACAATTAACAATTATCCAAAGTGATTGTATTGCCATTACTGATCAAGAAGCCACTTGACACCTGCTGACTGCACAGCAGTTACGAAACATTCCACTTCACTCTGACCATTTTACTTCTCTAAGCCTTTGATCTGATCCTTGATGCGCTTCAGAAAACCCTGTTGTATAGAAATAATTAAAAACGTATTTTTTAATACATTTCTCTGTTGCATTTGTCTTCCCAGAATAAACAGCAGCAGCTGATTCTGGTGTAGCCTGGGCTATTTTGATTATGAATATCTTATATATATATATATATATATATATATATATATATATATAATTTAATGGTGGTGGAAAGGCTTATAAAGAAGTTCTGAAATGAACCAATACAATTGTTTTTAGAATAGAACTGTTTTTTAAAAGGCTGCATCTCACATGTTTCTCTATTCAGCAATTTTCCCAAAGCTGGTGTAATGTATGTATACTGCCTGACAAAAAAAAAGTCACCATCTGGATTGAACTACGCAAATGCAGACATGGACAAAACTGTTGGTACCCTTCGCTCGATGAGAAAAAACCCCCACAATGGTTACAGAAAATACTTCAGGCTGACTAAAGTTATAGTAAATAAAATATCTATGAGATGTAACCAATAAAAGTCAGACATTGCTTTTGAATCATACTTCAACAGAATTATTAAAAGGAAAGTCAACTCATGGAACAGACCTGGACAACAACGATAGTAGCCCTAGACAGGACTGAGGGATGTGTTAACTGGAGGCGTGTCCACTAATGAGCATCACAGATGTACAGCTAGTCACTGTGTTTGGTGACGTGGTGTGCCACACTCGACATGGACCAGAGGAAGAGGAGGGAAGAGTTGTCTCAGAAGAGTGTGAAGAAAAAATATAGACAAGCACACGGAGGTGGAAAGTAATGAATTACATTTACTCACGTTACTGTAATTGATAGCTTTTTTGTATATTTATACTTTTTAAGTCGTTTTTATAATCTGTACTTTTACTTTTACTCGAGTACGTTTTTAAAAAAGAATAGTAATTCGCTACATTTTAAATCATATCCGTTACTGAGTAAAAATAAATTGTAGGCTTAATACATTAAAATTATTACGTGTAGCAGCATCAAAACCATCAACATAAATATATGGACAATGGGTTTCATAGGCTCCAATAACAAGTTTTTCTGCTAAAATGGGAGGTGGCCACCACCGCCATTTTGACCGTGTCACAGGTTCCGTCAAGCCCAGACAATTCCACAAAAGGGAAGAGAGGTGGAGCTGAGGGTGGGGCTGTAAGGCTGGGATCAACTGACGACACCCGGTCGAACTAGCTACAAGCTAACCTGAAGCTAACCCAAAGCTAATGCGGAGGTGGGAGCTAAGTGTAACGTTATGAAGTTATGATTTTCAGCTCCTAAACGCTGCCCCTGTACACATTTACACCCGTGTAGAAAACGCCAAGGTCGTCTGATCCTCAGACTGTTTACATTCCAGAAGAAGGAAGAACGCTTTTACTTAATCAAAGTACTTTATTTGTGATAAAAAATTAAGCAAAACATATGTTGATCAATAATAATCAAGTGAATGATCTGTGAAATAAAGATGTCATGATTTATGTGTTTAATGAGTAAACAGGACGACATGCACCGACAGACTGACACTCATCCCCATGGCAACGCATGACACATTGCTCCAACCAATCAGAGCCTTCGGCTGCCGCAAGAGAATCTGGCTTGTTGACTTAAAGTGTCCAATCCGCTTTACTAAAACTTATCAACAATTCAGAGATATAAAACAAGGCAACTCCATTTTAAGCTCGGTTCCATTTTGACTTCAGTTCTATTCACCGTCATCCCAAAGAGAAGCACAGCCTGGCCAGATTTGTTTTCTTCTTTAAACTAAGAACTGTGAAGTTTGAGATTTTCGTCGTTTAACAACCAGACGACATCCTTTCAAAATAAGAGCACCTGCTGACGCTGCCGATTGTTACCTGGATCGACCCTTCAGACGGGCTTTGAAACGGTGCGATCGCTGTTTCGACCAGCTCCAGCGCACATCAGAGGTCTTCAGACCTGGCATTTCCTGATCTACCTGGGAGGCCCCCACTGGGTACGTACACGGCAAAATAGCAGCTCATGTCATCACTTTATAAGCCTCGTGATATCTAGTCATAACAATCAGACTTCCAGATTCAATGACGTCAGCCTAAAGATCCTGAACAAAACACACACACACACACACACACACACACCAACACAACATCCAAATCCATTTTCATCCATCACAGAGTTAGTCCTGGTAGATTGTTAAGAATTTATAATTAAGAAATTAAAGATTCTTAAACGATCCCAACTCTCTCTCTTTTCTTGTCTCAAAGTCAATACAGAGTGTTTAATTAAACTCCCTGATGATAAAAACAGCCCATCTTCTGATTATAACAAGTGATCTACTTACAGTATATTAAAATACAACTCTAGATATTTTCATCACTCTATTTCTCTACAATTGGCGAGCTAAGCCTGATATCTGCACAGTTTATTACACTTTGTGCCGATTTTGAGACATATTTTGCAGTGGCGGATCTAGGATTTTTCTGAGGGTGGGGCCATCAAGGGGCCACAATATTTATAGAGGGGCCACGAACAGTCCAACATACTTGCATACTATTCCCAGTTTTGTATGGTAGATACAGTTTACCCCAACACCATGTTGAAAAACATCAATGCAATTGTACATCAATTTTTACTGTACATTGACAAAATACAACCACACACAGCATTTGAGAAATTTTAGCATTCAATTTATTTTGCAAAGCCACAAATATCAGGTTAAAATATGTTTGTGTGTGGAAAAAACACCAGAAGAATATCACAGGACCCTCTGCTCTTGACTGGGAAATGTCTGGTGGGAAGTCAATTAAATAAGTCTGAGTCAGTTGCTTATATCTCTCAACCTTTAACATTCATGGCATTCAGAATCTGCAAGTGACTGACTGCAAAATTCAATTAAATTTAAAGAGCCTTTACAAAATGAGAAGCACACCACCAGGTCCTACTGGAACAGAACACCGTTCTGATGTCTGCGCAGGATTCTGTGCATCACACTGGAAGATGTCTGAAAACAGCAAATGAGAAATTATCTAACATAAGCCAAATACATACACAAGCATTTATTACTTTCAAAGATCAATGTTTACCATTTGATCCTGCAGGATTAGTATTGATTGGTGACTCTGGTGGCCCAGCAGGATGGAAGGTTGAGTCATTAACTTCACTCTGGTTGTCTGAATTGGAGATAGTCTTGTCCCAGTTTGCAGCTAAAATACAAATATATGTCAAACTCCAGCTAAATCCAGCCAAAACTTTGTTTTCTATGAGACCACATTTTTATTTATTTGAAATTGAAGACTTCAAAGATTGGACTATAAAGATGAGATGTGGTAGATGTAGACAAAGAAACCAATACAATTTAAATCCATTATGTTAATGTTATAGTAAATCACATCACCATGAAGCGGAAGAATTCAGTAAACATATGTGCCATTAGTACAAGATAACATCATTTAACAAATTTGAGATAATGGTGATTTTTTTTATTTTTACCTAGAATAATGGCAGGAAAAGTTGGACTAACAAAGGAATATCCAAAACACAAAATCTCTTTGGAAAACTTAACCTTGACCTTACTTAATCAACCAATTAGAAAATTCAGTGTTTCAAACAAGGACTTTTCCCACACATTTTACAATACATCAAAATGTCACAATTTAGGGAAACCTTGAAGGAATTGTGGGAAAGGAAACTTAACTGCAACATTACTGATGATGAATGGAAAGATGCTTTGAGAAACGTAAAATCATTTACTAAAGGGAAGCAACTTTGCCACTAATGATTTGTCACGATTAACAACTTCTATCAATTTAAACAATAATCCTTTATTTTTGGTGCTTGGAATAACTGACCCAATTATTACTGATAAATATAAAAAGCTCAATGCAAATTTTCTGTGCAAGAAAATGACTCCACATTAACTGGATCAGCTCCAAGATAAAATGGGAAAAGGTTATCCTCAATTATAAGCAGAACACACTGGGCAGCATTAGGTCGTTTATAAGTGGTCAGTCCGTCCTGCTGGATAATGTGGTGCAATCATGATCTTTTTACAAAAGATTATGCGATGGCGGTGAAAAGGGAGCTTGGGGGCGGTCTCTGCGCTGCCACGGACTTCAGTTTATCTTGGACATAACTTGCTTTTTATTGCGATCAAACTAAGCCACACTCATTAAGCTTTTTTAACAAGCCGCTCCAGAAGGTGTCTGTCCCCGTGCAGTCTCTGGTGATCTGAGCTTCAACTCTTACGGAGAGGCTCCCCGGCCATCATCTCAGCTGATTCTGTTTAGAAAAGCCAAACTTACGGCCCATGTTTACTTTCATTTTCAATATAGTTGCCGGCCGGAGCTCGGCAGTAACTGCCCACGTGATCATGATACCCCCTTCTGTTGCGCCAAGTTGTAATATGCATTCACAAGTCCGGCGTTGCGGTGATATTATTATCAACCGTGGCAGCACGAATGCCACAAAATTCCCGCAACACCATGCCACCACGGCGCGTTTATATTACACGTACGCTGATTTCCCAGCATGGTATGTCCTACAAGAGGCTGTCTCTCGTGTTTATCTGACATGACTGTTGCACAATAAAGATTATATTCTTTCTGACCTGATAAAGGGGGAATGGAGGTCCCTTGCCCTGTTCCAGCCTCTGGTCTACTGCCTCCTGCTGCTCTCTCTCTGATTTCTCCATGCTCGTTTTCACCAGCTGACACACTCACTCTCTTGGGAAAAAACTGCAGAATTCCCGCCTGTATCTGACCCTTTCTTTTCATGTTCTCTATCAGACAGTGCCAACTATTAACACACGAAATGCAGATTACAAAAGAAGTACATGGATTAGCAAGGGCTAACGTTTTTTCACAAGCCCTTTTTAACATTACCTTTAACTAATGTCGGCATTGCTTTCCATTGGACTTATTGTCAGACTTGACTTACATGGCAACTGTGAGTAAACAGTGATTCGTGACTTACCAACAAACTCCTCATAACGTGGACTCTCATCAGATCCGATGTCGGTTGAAAAGTTCTCCCTTCTTGGAATCTTTCAAATCTTCTTCTGTTGGATTTCACACACTATTTTGCTCCTTAGCGCCACACGGCCACTAGTGTTTGGACTCGGAATTGCATCCACCTATAATCTCATCACCGCACAAAGGACAGATGAGTGACAGGACAGGGGCACTACAGGGGCCAATCATATTTCAGCAGGGGCCAGTGCCCCTGTGGCCCCGCCCCTAGAACCGCCAATGATATTTTGGGATTTTTGTTCAGTGTGAGTTCAGAAAAAGAGGAAAAAAGCGAACATTTTCCTCATTCAGCTTCTCAGAAAAGGGGGGTGCTCATTCATCACCCTCCAACAGGAGGCGCTGTTTCATCAAAACACCTTAAGTGCTGACGTGTGCTGACGGCCATTTTGAGGCCTACATCTGAGGGTAAACATTTCTCCTGTTTAATAAGTGGAACCGTCTGTTTTATTGTTTGTCGCAGTGTTTGTGACACTGTGTGCATCAATTTGTGTAATCGGAGACAGAAGACTCCGTCGGAAATTTATTTCCGTTCAATAGGCGCCTGATCCGCACCTGTTCCTTGCCGGAATACTCGTTAGCAACTACCGTAGCTTAACTTGCTAGGTAACCGCTGTAATTACCGCTGTAATAGCGAGGGTTCTACACAGCCGCTCCGGTGTGTAGAATCTTGTTTTGGCTACGAAGGAAAAACGCCGGGTGCCGGACTGCGCATGCGCAACAATCCGCCATCTTAGGTGCCCGACGCGTAGCTCGACCGGCCATCTTGGACAGGTCAAATGACAATATTTTTGGCATTATTGAACAATTTTGCCCAAAATATTCATTCAACAGCCAAGCTTCCCTGTAACTAATTCTTTAATAAGTCTACAGGTAAGGTTGTTTCTAAATAAACATCTAAATAGAAACAAAATCAAAGAGTAAATTAGTAAATTCAAGATCTCATTACTAATTTAGAAAATGGACTCAGAGAAAACGATGCAATTAACATCCCAACTTCAGGCGGCGATGCAAAGCGCTCTCCTGCCAATGATGCAAAGCGCTTTCCTACCAATGATGACCGAGATGAAGAACATGATGAACATGATTTGCGCTCTTCAGAAAGACGGCGAGGACGTCAAACAATTCATGCGTGATTCTCAGGCAACCCGGGCAGCAGCTCCGTGTTTGCCTGAGAAGCCGCAAGACGAGACGAAAGTGCTGCAGGCTGATGTTTTCACAGGTTCTGACTCACAGGAAAACAACAACACCTCAAAGGACAGCGACAACACCTCACCGGTCGTTCCATCCGTGGCGATGTTAGGCGATGAACCCACAGATGACGACCCCAGTACCACTACTGCTACCGCCGTAACTGAAAAAATTTTGCTTGCACCTCTGGTCGTGAGAAAGGGATCTAATAGGCCCGCAGTGGAGGTCACTGTAAATCAGAGACATCGCTGTGTCGCATTATTAGACACAGGAGCGGACATCTCGCTCATCAGCGGAGCTCTTTACAGCAGCATGTGCGAACAAAGGGGGGAGGACATCTCACCCCCCACACTCATTTCAGGCCCAAAGGATTTTGACGATTTTTATGGCGCTCCATCGTCCGCGGCTGCGACGACTGAGGTCAACATCTCGATAGGAGGCATGTCCTTTAAACACCTCGTGTACATCAACGAGGAGATGAGGATGCCCATGCTCATAGGGTTGGACTGTCTCCAACGCCTTGACGCTAGAATCAGCTACGCGTCCGGACAACTGTTTGCACGTGTGAGGAGGCCAAAGCCGTACAAACCGCGGCATGACACAGGCGGACACCTTACTGTGGTAAGTCTTTCGCGGGGGGACGCAATTTCAAACTCACCACCACTCTCGAAGCCACCGGGTAGGCCCCCGGAACTTCTGTCACAGATTGAGAAGGTAATAGACCAAGCAGATGCTCTCACCAACGAGGTCGAGCGAGACAAGCTACGACAACTTTTGCTAAAGTACCAGGATTTTCTTTCACTTGACTCCTTGGACTGTGGTCTGACCACTATCCATGAAGTCCGGATTCCTACGAGACCAGATGCACCGCCGTCCTTTGTGCGGCAATACAAGATTCCCCTGGCGTCCATAGAACCAGTCCAGGAAATCATTGACAGCCTCTTGGCTAACGGGGTCATTCGACCCTGCAACAGCACCTACTCGGCTCCGTTGTGGCCGTTACTGAAGCCTAATGGTAAGTGGCGACTTACCATTGACTACCGGCAACTCAACAAACAGGTCCCCTTGTCTAGGTGGCCTATGGCATGCCTGGAGCAGGAGCTTCCAAGAGTGAAAGATGCTAAGTACTTTTCCACGCTTGACATTGCGTCCGGGTTTTGGACGATTCCCGTCCACGAATCGGACCAACACAAACTTGCCTTCTCCTTTGCCAACCGGCAGTACACCTTCACCTGGTGTCCTTTTGGTTATTCCAACTCACCAGCTGAGTTCAACATCTTCTTGAACAAGGCCTGCCCCGACGCTCGAGAGTGTGGAACCCTCATCTATGTCGATGACATTCTTATTAGTCGGCGTACATTGGATGACCACCTGGCCGAGCTGGACCATGTCATGGGTCAACTCGCGGCGGCAGGTGCAAATATCTCTCTCGCCAAAGGACAGTGGTGCAGGTCGCAAGTTCAGTATGTTGGCCTCCTTGTGGGACCACAGGGAGTGCTGCCTCAGCTTGGCAGGATTCAGGGTGTGGCCACCATCACACCTCCGACGAACGTCTCGGAACTTCGCAGCTTCTTGGGGGTCTGCAGCTACTCGCGTCAGTTCGTGGAACATTACGCTGAGTTGGCACGACCTCTGACTAATCTGTTGAAGAAGGATGTGGCGTTCGAGTGGGCGGAGCAGCACCAGAAGGCCATGGATGACCTGAAGGCCGCGATGTGCTCGGCTCCGTGCTTGGCGCTCCCCGACTGTGACAAGGAGTTCCACCTTGAGGTTGGTTTCTCAGCTCACTGTTTGAGTGCTGGTCTCTACCAGATTCATGACTGCGACAGGCGTGTCGTAGCCTATGCTAGTAAGCCCTTGACTGGACCTGAGTTGAAATACTCGGACTGTGAAAAGGCTTTGCTTTCCACCATGTGGGCAGTTAAGTACTTTGCGAACTACATTGGCGGACAGAAAATCATCATTGAGACACAGCACCAGCCGGTGACCTTCCTTAACAGTCAGCGCATCAGAGATGGTGTGGTGTTTAAAATTCGAAGTGGGCACCGGCACTCGGGAGGAGGCTGAGAACTCCCCCTGCCAAGTGCCGTTGAATGTGCTCACTCCCAAGGCCCTAAGTGTATGTTTGCGTGGAATGTCGTCGGTGGAAGTGCATAAGGTGCAAATAAAATTGGGGGGCAGGAAGCCACAGGAATGTGGAAATGGGGTCCATACCCGCACTCCTCGACTTGTCCACCCCCCAAGGTCCTATGTGCATGTTTGTGTGATGATGTGAGGGAGCAGGAGGAGAGAAATAAACGGGGATGGGGAGGAATGGCTGGTAGGGCTTAGCCCTCCAGGGAGCCAGCTCCCCCACTGACCCCAATAGGCACCTCCGTTGTCATACCGCCGCCCAGGGCATGGAGACCCCAGCCCATCCTGCCAGGGCCCAAAGCAGCAGCATCACAGAGCCCCACAGAGCCCGAGGGAGCCGACCCAGCCCCACCCCAGCAGAATATCTATGCCCATCCCTGCATTTGCACAACTTCCAGAATATATAAGACATAAGACATCCAGGTAAGGTTGGGTCCTCCCCCTCCTGGACCTCCCCCTCCCCTGTGATGGGACAACAGAGGAGCCAGGGCCTGCCCTACGCCCCTGAACCCGGGCCAGGTACTTCTGCGTATTCCTGCCTTCTTCCCGGCAGCGTACATGTAGGGACCCGACCCCCAAGGCCCAGCCCAGATCCCCACACGGGGCCGGCCACCCCAACACCCCGAGCCCCCAGGCCCCCACCCAGACCCACCCAGGGGCAATGCAGCCGCCAGGCAGTGACCCATGGCCGCCGCCAAGACCTCCAAGGGGCTCCACTCACAACCGCCAGCAGTACACCCCCCGAGGCAACCCAAGCACCTTCAGAGGGGGGCAACGGCCCCCCAGTGCCAGACATC